ATGGGGTTGTTCTGTCCACGCTATCAAATGCTTTTCCGTAGTCAATGAAGAGTGATGAATTCCATTCAATTGATTGTTCTACAATGATCCGTAGAGTTGCGATTTAGTCTATACACTATCTATCTTTACGTAATCCTGTCTGTTAGTCGCGAAGTTGTGCGTCTACGGAGTCCTTCATCCTGTTTAGCAATACCCTGTTGTAGACTTTTCCTGGTATTGAGAGAAGAGTGATTCCCCTGTAGTTGTCACAGTTGCTGAGATCGCCTTTCTTTGGTATTTTGACTAAAAGTCCTTCTTTTCAGTCTTTTGGTACCTGTTCCTCATGCCAGATCTTTCTGAAGAGAATGTAGAGTATCTTTGCAGTTGCCGCTACGTCTGCTTTCAGTGCCTCTGCTGGAATGCTGTCTAGTCCTGCTGCTTTGCCACTCTTGATTTGTCTGATAGCCATGCTGATTTCTTCAATTGTTGGTGGGCCAACATCGATTGGGAGGTCCGTGAGTGCTGCTTCGATGTTGTGTGGGTTCAGTGGGGCTGGTCGATTCAAGAGTTCTTTGAAGTGTTCTACCCACCTGTTTCGTTGTTCTTCAATGTTGGTAATTATCTTGCCTTCCTTGCTTTTCACTGGTCGTTCTGGTTTACGGTGATTTCCAGAGAGTTTCTCTGTCATGTCATACAGTTTTCTCATATTTCCTTCTCTGGCAGCCTTTTCCGCCGTCAATGCCAAATCTTCCACCTATTTACGTTTGTCAGCTCTGATGCTCCTTTTCACTTGCTTGTTTACTTCTGTGTATTCAGCCTGTGCCTTGACTTTTTCTGCTCTTGTTCCACTGGTATTGATTGCTGCTTTCTTGTTCCTCCTTTCTTGAATCTTATCCAGTGTATCGACCGTGATCCAATCCTTGTGATGGTGCTTCTTTTGACCCAGAACCTCATGACACGTTGAAGTGATTGCCTCTTTTATCTCTTTCCAGTTGCTCTCCATAGTAGTTCCTTCTCCGTTGAGTGTATCATGAAAGGCCTGGAACCTATTGCTGAGGGTTATCTTGAATTTATTGAGTTTGTCATTATCCCGAAGAAGAGCCATATTAAATTATTGTGATATTGTCCTCCCTGTTGTCCAGTGCTTCTTGAGTTTCAATTTCATCTTGGCGACCAGCAAGTGATGATCTGATGCTATATCAGCTCCTCTCTTTGTTCTCACGTCCTCCATCGTCCTCCTGAACTTTTTGTTGATGCAGATATGGTCGATTTGGTTCTGTGTGCTGTGATCCGGTGAAGTCCATGTGGTTTTGTGTATGCGTTTATGTGAGAATATAGTCCCGCCTATGACCAGTTTATTGAAGGCACATAGATTTGCAAATCTCTCCCCATTTTCGTTCCTTTCTCCCAGTCCGTGTCGTCTCATGATCTCTTCATATCCGGTGTTGTCAATTCCAACCTTGGCATTTAGGTCTCCCATCAGAATAGTCAGGTCTTTTGTTGGGCACTTCTCGACGATTGACTGCAGCCTATCGTAGAATTGATCTTTAGCGTCTTCATTGTAGTCGTTGGTAGGCGCGTAGCATTGGATGGCGTTCATTGTAATCCCCGTTTTCTTTGTTTTGAAGGAAGCTTTGATGATCCTTGGTCCATGAAATTCTCATCCTATAAGTGCATTATGTGCTTGTTTGGATAGCATCAATGCAACTCCTTGTGTATGTGGGGCATTTTCTTCTTCGTGTCCGGAGTATAACAGCAGCTCCCCTGAAGCTAGTCGTTGTTGTCCAACTTGCGTCCAATGTGTTTCACTGATCCCAAGCACCTCTAAATTGTATCTCCTCATTTCTGCAGCAATTTGTAAAACTCTCCCAGTCTCCCACATTGTGCGAGCATTCCATGTACCTAAATAAATGGTTGCTCTGGTTGTCAGAAGGGGCATCGGCCTCGTGACTTCCGAAAGAACTCAGCTTTCATCATGAGGCTTCATAATTCTTCTAAACGAAGAACTTCTGACTCCCAGGGCAGAGTTTAAATGGTTTGAATAATATTTTCTAGTTAGCGTTTTTTTAGCGAGTTAGTTTTGTACGGGATGGGGTCGCTAACCCCATCCCCAACTCTCCTCCTTTTTCCGGGCTTTGGACCGGCAGTAGCCTCCCGAAAGGGACTCCAGGCGGAGTTTTACTGTTTAAAGGTTATCTATAAATATGAACGAAAATTTGTTCATTTTACTTTATTGTATTAATCAATATGGAATAGAGTTTTAAACCGTAAAAAAATAATAATAAAAGAGAAATTAGATTATATAAATGATGTTGAAATTTATCAGCTTTGATTGATTAATGACTAAGGAATGAATTCTCAGCATGAATATTAAAAATCTATTCAATCCTATTCAATTATACTGTTAGTAACAAAATTCACTTGATATTGTTTTACTTGAATCTTTCCATTGATGTTTAAAATTGTGATTGATCCGTTGTTGGGTTATTCAAAAAAATATATTATATCCCCAACAATTATCCTATTAAGTCTAATGTTATCCTTGAACGTGAAATGGTATCGTTTTCCTATTGGTCGATATTTATCTTACGTATCATTTTCCTATTGGTCACATCTTGTACAAATGTGTATTTTCTATTTTATAGTACGATATGTGGTCTGTTTGATTGATATATAAACAGAGTATATTCGAAATATAATGTTTCATATCGCAGAGGCTGAGACTTATGTTCTGAACTCAACTGACTGAGCTAGACAGGGAAGCAGGGCCAATCAGAATTCTAGACTGTTCTTACGTGTTTTACGCGTCTTTAGTCCGATCGATAATTCACTGCTCCCTAATCCGCGCGAACAACATATAACATCCGTCTCTTACTGGCATATATACATACTGTGTGTATTACCATAATTCACAAGCATTATCAAGCCATGATGGATAGTGGTTAGCAGTGGATTCCAATTTAACGCGCGTTTCGTCCTGTTTGGGACTCGTCAGCTAGGTGTACCTGCATCTCACAATTGATGTTCACTACAATTGTACAACGATTCTACAAGCTGTCCAACAATTTCAGTAATTAAAATAATACCCTCATTTTTCAATCCTTTAACATAAGTTATTAGGTGAGCAAGCATCATGACTAAAAGTGTGGCGGATATAAGTAGTATATGATGTTAGTCGTGAACAGAATGTCTGACAGCAGAAAGACAAGAAGATCGAACAGTAAAGAATGAAAACAGAATGCAATTTGTATGAAAATGCAAGAACAAAAGAGTTCTGAGTCATTTTGAGACAATTGATGGACATTTTGCAAATTGAGCATTTACTTATATGGTTGTTAGATTTTACTAACTAGTTCTGTAATTTGTTGTTAAATACATTCGATTGTCCCCATCCGTGTCCGTCTTCACTACATTTGGTGTCGCTGCCAACCAGGAGAGGGGAGGGTGCTGTTCTGCGGACGCCGTTGAGAGCCTGGAGCTGAGGTGCAGGTAAGGGCAGTCTGGTGCAGGGAGATGGCGTCTGATGGAGTGTTCTGGCGGGGCGGCGTTGTCTGTAGCGGGTTCTGTCGACAGAGAGGAACGGTGGGACGTGCGGCTGCTTGGCGGACATCGGATGTAGATGGCTCATCAGGCCAGTGGAGCGCGGGTGATAAACGTCCCAGGTGCCGGTGGGATGTCGGATGTTGGTGCCTCGGCATGTCGACGGAGCTATGGAGGTCAGCACGCCGCAGACTCGATCTTTTGACGGAGGGTGTAGCACAGACTGCAGAAGAGAAGAATGTTGCACGGTGAGCATGAACCAACTCAAGAACGACTGCTTTAAAGGGGGGACGAGTGCGGTGTGTGCTACTTATATGTAGACATAAGTAGTATATGATGTTAATCGTGAACAGAATGTCTGGCAGTAGAGAGAGACAAGAAGATCGAACAGTAAAGAATGAAAACAGAATGTTAGATTTTATTAACTAGTTTTGTAATTTGTTGTTAAACACATTCGATTGTCCCCTATTGGTATTCACCGAAATAGTTACGCATAAATTTGATTGACTCGTGAATGATTATTCAGTTGTTTATGTACAACATAAAACCGAACATAAATGTATATCAACTCATGTTCCCATATGACATCAGCATAATGAAATAAACGATATATTAACTTTATTGGAAAGAAACACTTATCGTCGTTTATCAGTTGTTGTGTCTTTAGCATTCCATTTATTTTGGGAAGCTATATATGAACGATTTAGTTTTATGAATAATAGTTCCTCGGATACATTTTATAACAACAGTTAAGTAGTCCAATAGGAACATCGTAATACAAACAATATACATTTCATTATAACTATATGTACAGATAAGATCCAGTTTGTTTGTTTGTTTATTATTATTATTATTATTGACATAATATTTCAATTATTTGTTGATCTCTGTAAACTAGATTCCAAATGTATCATAAACTGAATTCATAATTGAAATGCTTACTAATATAAATAATTATTTATAATTTCAATGGTTAGGATTATGAGTCTCAGTTGAAGCTAGATCACTATGAAAAACATGGAAGCATTGGATGGCCGTTTCGTCCTATTGTGGGACTCCTCAGCATTGAG